TTCATTATGGAAATGGATCTAGGGTGTTATGTGAAAAGGATTTGAATAAAGTATGTAATTTTGATTATTCCTTTTCAATTTTCTATCAAGAGAGACGAACAAAAAATCCTAAGGAATTGATATAACACTTTCTTCTTAAGACCAAATTATTCCTTAACGGTGCTAATGGCTTACGACACTTGTCTTCCAAGATACAATGGATACAACTTATGATAGAAGCATTTCAAATCATAAGTAATAACGAACTCAAACAATGCTTCTTCTCTCTACAAGAAATAATTTTTGGAATGAATTTGGAGAAGTTTTTGCAAAAGATTTTGATGCAAACTCAATGCAAATGATATGGGATAAATAATGAACGTCTAAAGGGTCATATTCATGAAAGATGAGAGGTTGTGAGTAAAGAGACACGCCTAAAAACTCAGCAACCTTCACTAAAGGAAACATCATTTACTGTCGCTAGCACGTCGGTGGCCTCTCGTTTGAGCGTTGTGACACCTTTTCAACAAAAACTTTTCGACCATCTGTCGCTAACCAGTAGCTAGAGCGACAGCTTTCCTCCTATCTAGGCGCCAGCCTGTTGCTCGAACGACAGTGTTGCCTATTTTCCTCCTTTGTTTTTCAATTTGGACCGCAAGTTTTCATTCATCCAAATTTGGTTTTGAGATTTCAAATATACTATGACGATCTACTCGACGAGTAGAACAAGTTAATCTATTTATTTTTATAATTTGACTATTGGGTCAAGTCCGAATATTTGGCCGAAGTCAACACAAAGTCACTTTTCAAGTTTTATACTTAACCAAATGTTAATTCTTTAAACCAAATTCCAACAACGCATAAACGAAAATTCAAATATGTTCATGCAATGCAAAAATATATGCATCGTAAAGAGAGAGAGGGAGAGAGAATAGAAAAACATTGTATTAGGTAAGGTGGCTTCCGACTTTAAACCTTCATTAGTAAATACTATCGAATTTACTTAACTAATTGGTGAACGTGTTGTCTTGAATCATTCAATTGTTGGTGTAAACCAAGACAATAATATTTACACAGATATTTTTCCTAAATCGTTCGTAGTTCTCATGACTTAGTTCATTTTAGCTCTAAACCACTATTGAGTTTCATAAGTGTTTAGAAAATTTCAGCATTGAACAATTTTCATTAGGTAGCCCCACTTTACACTTACATAAATGACCTCATATTCAGAATATTCTGCCATATTCCACTTGACTTAATCAAGATATAGAAATTATTAAAATCATATCTTGACCTTTAACATTCTAAATAGACACTTTAATTATCATATGAATGAGTTTGAAAATATCTTTTCAAGTGCTTTATTGATTTTTCATAACTTAATTGTCCTCTTGAACCAAGATCTTGGGATATACAATCAACAAGGTAGGGTTACCATTACAATGATTCTTACGTAGTAGGCCATAGTCTAATTCCTTACGGTAGGCATTTCGTAAGAGGATTTTCGGTGTTCTCCTTTGATTTCACATAATTTATAGAGATAATAATATTAGAGATTTGTTGCTTAATGGTAATGTGTTTACGACGTATATGTCTAGACTTACTATTATACATGCTGCTTTGAGCCTGGTGTGCTGTCGTAGGCACCCAAAAATAGTCCTTAAACCTCTAAAACTAATGTGGTAATGGAAGTAAAGGTCAATCTTATGAAGAGTGTGTAATTCAACAATTTATAAATCGTATAACGATTGAGGGTATTGTTTATGACGAAATCAATCTTATAACAAATAACAATATAAATTACCGAATTGTATTAAATCAATGAAACG